CCAGCAAATCAACTGACAAGAAGTTGGCTAAGCTCTACCTACTGTCATAATTACCTGGCTCTCACCAATTTGTCCCAAACACAAATTACCAGTAAGACCCTTTTCCAGCTGTACACTTTGCCAAAACTATGTTTAGGGCATCATTTAGGCTGATGCAAAATTACCAACTAATTTCATGAACTGACAGGTTCCCAAGGCAAAAACCAATTCATGTCAGTAGGAAACTGTTCCTTTGTTTTCTGTTCTTGGGCTGGCAAGGAGTTTGGGATCTACCAGGTTGCCTTCAACAAAATGATTTAGAAGCTGAACTTATAGTCAAGGCTAAAGAACTCATCCTTAGAGAATAAGCACTCAAATAAGAAAGGCTTTATTTGAAGATAAAACAAATAGCCCATACACACACACACACACATCCAAATGCAAGTAAGAGTTCACTGGGTTTTATAAAAGAGAAAGCTGCACTCAACACTAAGGAAAGAAAAAAACCTGAATTAGGTGAAGAATGGAGATACTTCTGATAAGGAATAAAATTACCTTTGATGAAATCTAATAAAGAAGCCTGTTTTTTCCTAAATATTACAAATCAAACACTTAGAAATGTAATGATAAACTATAAAAGATTAAAATAATAAATGATCACTTATTAGAACCTAGATAACTTTCTTTTTTTTTTTTTTTTTCAAATAAGAAAGGCTTTATTTGAAGATAAAACAAATAGCCCATACACACACACACACACACACACATCCAAATGCAAGTAAGAGTTCACTGGGTTTTATAAAAGAGAAAGCTGCACTCAGGTGTCAATTAAAATTGGAACCATTGAAGAGATGCTCCCTGCTTGTGGTGACATGGGTACAATGTGTGCTTGACAAGAAGTTGTTTGGCGGTGGCATAAATGTGGGAATGCAGGACAAGAGTTAAGCGATACAAGGCAGAATGGCAGGTGGGCAAAAGCTCAAAGACCCTTTTCTCCATTCTAACATGCTTTTGTTCTGCCCTGGGGAATTAAAGCAGTCACCTGGTCACCTTACAAAGAACCTCAATTTCAAAGAACACTTTCAAAAGTTGAAAATAGATTTAGAGTTCTTACTAAAGTTATACCGAGATGTCAGTGGGGAAAAATAATTTACATTTGCAAAAACCAGGCTTCACACAACAGCAGGCACTAAACCGAGTTCCCTGTGCTCATGGTAGAAAAGCTGAGACTGATCTTAATAAAGGCTCGTCTTCTTCATGATGCGCAGGAACTCCTGCTCATTGACTTCTCCATCTCCATCTCGATCAGCTTCATCAATCATTTCCTGCAGGACAGGAAGGATTCCACTTAGAGCAATTCATAAATGGAACGAAAGTGTGACTAAGTAATCAGCTTTCATAATGATGCACAAATAGACAATGTGGTCCACCTGCTGCAAATGGGCTGACTTTTATAATAAGCTTGGTTCCTGAAAAGTCATTTGAAAACCAAGTCATACTTTGCCACATTGTATATCGCCTAGAAAGCAGCTCAAAAGCCACCCTGACTAGGGAGATTCCTAAAACCTAAATCTATCCACGGGTAGATTTTTCTGGGGGCAGTGTCCATTGGTTTGTCTCACTAGGAAAAGAGAAATTAAGTAGTCAGCAGAGTGACAAGAGAACATTCATTTTTCTTCAAATGTAACCAGAGAAAATGGAACTCAAAAAAGTCACACGGGGCTCCAGGCTGAGCATCACAAACCTGCAACTCCTCGTCAGAGAGGTTCTCACCCAACTCCTTGGCCACACGTTTGAGGTTTTTGAACGATATCTTCCCAGTCTCATCATCATCAAAGAGCTTGAAGGCTTTCAGGATTTCTTCTTTGGTATCCTTCTCAGACTTAACAAGCAGAACATAAAACACATGACAACAGGGAGACACTTGTGATTCATACTGACTTGTGTCCCGCAGCCCCACCACTGCCAATCCCCTCTGCCCTGCCCAGATGTCACATGGATCTTGGTGACAGCTTCCATGACTACAGGTGCTGGGTCACAGAAAATCACACAGTAACCAGGGCAGAAAAAGAAGATAAACAAGAAATTACTACAAACCCAGAGGCTAAAAAGGAAATATAAAGGTTTGCATTTAGAACATTTTCTGTACAAACCAAAGAGAAAGTAGATTTGTTTTTAAATTATGGGAACAGAAGGTGAAGTTAGACTTAGGGGAAATATACTGTTTAAGCTGCTAGAAGAGGGATCTTCTTGGTGGGGATGGAGGGGAAGGAAGGAAAGAAAAGGCTATTTCACTTGTTATGAGATCAGAAAATGTTACTGGTATCCCCAGTACTCTAACAGAGGAAAACAATAAAATCTCCAAGAGCTCCAACTTCAAATATTCCTGAAAGGTAGCTAAAGATAGTGAGAGCCCCTAATAAGAGCAATCTGGGAACCAACTCTGAATGCAGGACAGCTTTACTATGTTGCTACAGAATGTTAAGCTTCCTGAACTCTTAAATCAGTCCCTGAAGAAAAATATAGATGTAATTAGATGATTTCAAAGCAACAGGATTATTAGAGGAGAAACAGGCCTGTGCATTGGGAGGCTCATCTGACACACTAATGGAGCTACTTTTCCACAGGCCAGTAGAATGTAGATGAGCCAAACTAAGGAGGAGCCAGGAGGCCAAAGAGAAATGGACCAAAGGGAACACCTCTCCTATGTGGGACACTTAGGGGACTGAGGGTGACAGGTGCGGTGACATCTTAGCACCTCTCTGGACCATTTGGAGACTAGAGAATGGGTGAATTCAACCTTGGAAGTGGTGAAAGACCAAATCCTCACTGCGGTAAAAAAACACAGCCTCAGGCTGAGGCTATCCAGAATACTAAAAAATGGGAGAGGAAAGAATTTCAAACTTTAAAGTACAGGGACTTTGCCTTGTCAAAATGCGAGACACTGTAATATTATTGGTACTATTAAAGGTTTTACTGCTTGTGCTTATCACACTGACCTACTGGTTGGAGAAAGAGCAAAGAAAGGGACAGCCCGTCCCCTCTGCCCTGTCTGGATGTCACATGGTCTTGGTGACAGCCTCTATGACTACAGGTACTGGGTCACAAAGATCACACTTTTACTTCTTTTCAGAGGGTAAAATGACTTTGACTTTGTGGCCTTGAAAAAAGTCAAGTAGAACCTAAACATCCTAGTTCTCAGTCACAGATACTCTCTTTTATCAGCTGAACTCTCCAGTCTGCATTAACTTTTTTTCAGTGAAGACATTTTCATATCTAGATTCAAATTTGTCCACCATTATTGGTGGAAAATAATGCTGATCATTTTAGCTAACTTACCATTTTCTGAGTCATTACAGTCAAAAAGTCACTAAAGTTCATTTTTCCTGTCCCTTCCTTATCGATTTCGCTTATCATTTTCTTGATCTCTTCTTTCTTCGGTTCAAAGCCCAGCGCCCTCATTGCCACCTTAAATGAAAATAGGATCATCTTAACATGCACATCTAAACCCAGGAGGAACCAATGACAGTGCTGACAGCATTAAGCCAGCCTCTGCTACAATCCTGTTAAAATGAATAGGAATCACTATAACAGCAAGCAAATTGATATGTGCATTTAATTTTATTTAATAATTCTTGAGGTAAAGACAAGAAAACACAGCACAGAAGACAAAGAGGCAGAGGAAATTAGAGGCAGCAGAGCAGGAATATACAGAGCTTGCCTTAAGTTCCTTAACATCAATTGTCCCAGTTCCATCAGCATCAAAGAGATCAAAGGCTTCTCGAATTTCCTGTTTCTGCTCTTCGGTAAGCTCAGGTTTAGGACTCATCCTTTTTCGCTGGGTAGTTGATGCCATGTTTGCCTTCTTAAAGTTAGAGGCCTTTATAAGTTTTACAAACACAGAAGCAAAATATTATTTAATAGAGTCACATTTTACAAAAAAACAGTTACAACCACATCTATTTAAAATAGTTTATACCAACGTATTTCAAAACTTTGCTTAACAGGAGAGATATCAGGGTTTGCTGGAAAGAGCAATAAATCTTTCTATGCACAGTCTGTCCCTCCTTCTTTACTATTGTTTGTACAAGCAAGGAGATCCCTTGTTCTTTTGGACCTTTCTTATTGAAAATCATCCCCAAAGAGAGCTAGCCAAGGAGCTGACTAGGGACAACTGTACGGATAATCAGTTCTCCCAATCTGGGGATCCTTAATTATAAAAAGGTCCTAGAACGCTGATCCGCTTTGCTCTAATTTCTCCGATTTTCTGATGACTTCTAGATTTGGCCAAATATTACTAAGGTAAGATGTATATTTTGTCAATATAGAATAATAAAATTCAGTTCTCTTAGTACACCTGAGCCTTCTCCAAGAAGCTCAACGCGTTTCCCTAAGTCCCTATATTTAACATTTTAAATACACATTAACAACCGAACATAATAAACTCCCCCCCATCTCCGTGTGGAAACTTTTGGTAGAGGCGGCCAGAAGGCCACAGTCTGAGACTGGTCGCGGCCTCCGGAGAATCTGAGCCTTTTTTGCCCAGGGACGGTCTCCGAAGGGGCTGAAGGCCAGGAGAACCCGAAGGGGGGGGGGGGGGGGCGGCTGTGGCTGAAGGGGAGGCGGGGGCGAATCACAGGCCCAGCAGGACGGCAGACGTCTCTACCCTACCCTTCGGCGAAAGCTCTCAGAGAAGCCAAGAACGGCGCTGGAGAGGCGGCGGGGCCCTGCAAGGCCTGAGAAGGGCACAGCCTCTGAATGCGGGGCTGGAAACCGAGGCAAGCACTCACCATCCCGGACGGACTCCACTTCCCGTTGTTACGGCAACCGACTTACACACCGACTCGGCGCTGTTCCCACCGCCCCGTGCGCGTGGCCTCGTTCCCCATTGGCGGGCCGCTAGCCGCCGCTCCCCATTGGCCCAAGACTGGGGTGGGTGGGGCTAACCCGACGAACACCCGGCACAGGGAGAGGGGCGGTACCGGTACCCTCGCGGCCCGGCCTCATTGGGCAGGATCACGCCGCGAGCGCAGATTAGCGGAGCCAGCACCGAACCAAGCCAATCCGCTTGGTGGAGGAGCCTCGGCAGATCCTCGGCTCACGCGGGCGGGGAGAAAAAGGTGGCTACCGGCAGCTCGAGCTCTAAGGGTGCAGGCTGTGGACACACTGGGGCCAACCAGCGGGGCGCCTACGGACCGGTAAGGGTTGCGACCTCACCCTTGTGTCCGCGACAGGACTATAACGCAAGGGGTTGGGTGGGACGATCCGGGACAGGGACTTCCTGGTCTGACCTGAGACTTGAGTTAGGGTCCGAGGGGCCAGAGAAGACCTAAGCTTTCGTGTTGGAGCAGACGCTGTACCCACGGGGCATCTGAGATCCAAAAAAGGGAAGGGACGTGCTGAACCTTGTCGCAGAGGTTCGAACGTCTGGGATTTAGAAGCCTAATCCAGCCGAGGCTCTTTCTTTGAGCGTGTGCGTTCAAGAGCACTCCCCACCCCCAAAGTAGGTTCCAAGACAGGATCACTTTAGTTCTTACCTGACTAAAAGCAGCCTGGGCAGGTGACCTGGGGGCCAGAGAACGGACTTTGAAGGGAGTGAAGGAAGCATGAGTGCGCTTGAGGGGGCAGATCTCTCAGCACTTTACCTGCTTCCCCACTGGGCGTTGGCACAGTATTTAGTGAGACAGCGAACCAGAGCAGACGTTTCTCAGGCTGAAAAAAAGCCTGAGGTTTATTGACATTTTTGAAACGAAAGTGTTCTCTGACCTTCTGCCCTTCACCCTCTTCGAGCATGAAACAGGTTCACAACCTTTCGGTCATATTTGACTCTTCTCCTGCCCCTTTCCCATTTACTGGCCTTCAAGTTCTGTCCATTTTCCCACGTCTGCTGCTCGTCTCCCACTTAAGGCCTTCAGCAGCAACCACCCTATGAGTGCAGGGCAGTGTTCTGATCGTGATCCGCGAGGCCCTTCCTGAAGGGCTTCCTCTGCCCTGGCCCCCTTCAGCCCCTGAACGGATTCAAATGTACAGACTCACTCCTGTCTTGGACGTTTGCTCCAGCTGCCCCTTCTGCATGCTTCCTCCACTTCTTTTCCTCCTGGAGGTCTTTGTTCTACTATCACCTTTCTCAGTGAACCCCCACTGAGCACCCTGTTTAGCATTGCAGCCCCCAGGACACCCAAACTCTGCACCTTGCTCTACTTTTATCCTGAAAAATGACATATTTCCTGCCATATCAATAAACAAATGATGTCATGGGTTGGTGAGCCCTGAGGGAATTTAGGAAAGAAAGAACACCTGCCTTCTAACAGCCATCAGACTGCAGCCACCCTATGGTGAGCCTTGAGGAAACAAGAAACCAGCCCCAGATATGCTGAGATGCAAATCAAAAGAATGATTTCAGTGAGCCCAGACTCTTTCATGTCTTGCATATTCCCATACACAAAAAAGCGCTAAATTCCTTAACTTGAGATGTCTAGTTTTCTTTAATTAACAATAATCTTTTGATATTCAGACTACCTGCCCTTTGTTGCAGAACTTTTATATAACCTGGCTACCCTTCTGGCCTCCTAGGACCAGTTCTCTCAGAGTTACTTGAGGTGCTGTCCCGAGGCTTGAAGTCCTAAATATTCTCACCAAATAAAACATAACTCTCAACTTTTAGGTTGTGAGTATTTTTTAAGTCCACAATCCCATACTGCTTGTTACTGTGTATTTTACTTATTTATTTTGCTCTTTACTGCCCATCCACTAGGAGAGAATCTGTGAGTGCAGGCATCTCTGTTTTGTTCACTGCTGGCACTCCAGAACATGGAACAGTGAGGGGACACACATTAGGTACTCAGTAAATCTTGGTTGAATAAGTGATGAGTGGTCTCCCTGTTTCCTGCTTCTCACCTGTCTAGTCCATCCTGCTTTACCAAGTTAATCTGACTGAACAGTTCTTGTCAGGCCACCCCCATGCTCTTAAACCCTCAGAGGTTTCCACTGACTGCAGACTGAAGTACAGACTCAGCCTGGCATCTGAGCCTCCTGCCCAGTTTTGCCCCTGCTGGACCTTCCAACTTTGTGTCATTCCACAGCCTGTTTCCCAGTGGGTCTGCAGGGTGACAGCCTGGCAGTGTAGCAGCAACCACAAGTTCTGCCTTGGCCTTGTACCAGCAGTGTGACTTTGGGCAAGTCACTTGACCTCTCCGAGCCTCAGTTTCTTAGCTGTTGAATGAGACCAGTACTGTGTTCCCAACTGGTTGCTTTTTGGATCTTAGTGGTATAATATACAGTCAGCCCTTCATATCTGCAGGTTCCATATCCATGGATTCAATTGTTGTAGCCATGCGTTCCAGGAACAAACTCACTCAGAAGGACAATGCAGATAGTGGAGTGCAGTTTATTTCACTGGCAGGCCCAAAGCAGAGTCTCCTCTTAGCCAAGGACCCCAACCAGTTTTTGTGAAAACCTTATATACCCTAAGTGTACGTGCTCAAACCCACCTCCCCAAATTCTCTGAAACTAGTCTGAACAAAGGAAAAGAAAGATACAATCAAAGTTAATCCGTGATTCATATGTCTATGCCTTAAACCCCTGATTTCTATGCCTTAAGCCTAGGTAGTTAACAGTGGACAATTATCAATAACCCTGTGTTCATACCCCAATAAACATAATAGAATTTATGATTCTATTCTGTTACACAGATAATTAGGGTATTCTTTTAGACAATGGAGAGTCTAGGTACCAACCCTGGGGCTCTTCCATCTGGGGAGTCTGGTTTTCCAGTTGGTATGTCATTTCCATAGATACTGGGCATATAGCTCAAAGTCCACAGTCTGGCCCAAGATGGAGTCCTGCTTTCAAGATGGAGCCTGTTTTGTCTGTTTCCTCCTTCACAACCATCCATGGACTGAAAACATTGAAAAAAAAAAAACTCCAGAAAGTTTCAAAAGCAAAAATTGAATTTGCTGCATAGGCAGCAATTTATATGGCATTAACATAGTATTTACAGCTATTTACATAGCATTGACATTGTATTAGGTATTAGGAGTAATCTAGAGATTGTTTGAACTATATGAGAGATTGTGCATAGGTCATATGCAAATACTGTGTCATTTTATCTAAGATACATTGAGTCTCCTTGGATTTCGGTGTCTGTGGGGGCTCCTGGGACCAATGCCCCATGGATACTGAGGAACTGTTGTGCTCATTTGTAAAAGGTTCTGACATTTGGCCAGTTTTCAGGCATTGTTAATTCTTTTCTCTGATTCACTCTTGTCATTCCCCTTATATGACACACGCAGAGCCTCAGACTCTGTGTTAAGTCTTCTCCACGCTGTAGCCAGAGTAATATGACACTCACCCTTGGTTTCAATTTCCAAAGCCTCCCACATCTCCCATAGGGTGACTCCTTAGCCCGACACACAGCACCTGCACGTTCTGAACTTTGCTGTCAATCTGACTTCAATCTCACTTTGTCACAACTTGTCGCAGAACAGGCTGGCTGTGCCAACGCCTCATGCTTCCCACCCCTGGCCTTGGAATATCTCTCAAGACACCCACCTCTTCTTTGACTCACGCCTCCAGGGCTTTAGAACTTGACTCAGGGATCACCTCCTTGCCTGGGCTTACTCTCATCCAAACTCACAGGCACTTCTGCAATGTTTTGCAGCCCAGATGCTGGGCTCCCTGAAGGTTGGTGCTGTGCCTTCTGCAGGTTCTATTTGGCAGTGGCCTTGTAAAGGTGGAGGAGTGAGCTGATACCAGAGTGCTTTTCTACACCTTTTTTTTTACAAGGTGCAGCTCCTTTTTTATCCTTGGGGCTGGTGCCTACAGCCACTGAGGTCAGCAGAAGGATTCCTGCTCTATAGTTGAGGCCTCTCAGACCAGCTGCTACAGCACAATTCCACCAATACTCCATTCCAGACTCCTTGCTGGCCCTCCAGGGGCTCACCCCCAGCAAGCCAAGATGGACATGGGGCCGAGGCTGTGGGGAGTGGGGAGCCTAAAGCTGTGTACAGTGTTAGGATGAAAACAGAAACCAATGCTGAGGTGCTGAGGAAGCTGCTCATCTTGCCTGGAAAGGGGGAGGAAGTTTTCCAGAGGTGACAACTGAGCGAGGCCTTGAAGGCTGCAGAGCTGCTCACCATGGAGAGGACAAGGAGCAGCACCTCCAGGTGGAGGGGACAGCATGAGCTGAAGCTCTCAGACAGGCTGCTGATTTTGTCAGCAGATTCAAAGCCAGGGCCTTTCTGTCCTGAAAGTCAACAGACTAGTGGAGAGATGAATGAGTGACAGAGAGGACAAGATGGAGCTGATTGAGTCCTTTGGAGAAGTAGGGGGAAGCCTTTGATCCTGTTGGCCTTTTGCTTGTGCAGACAGGCGTCCTCTTGCCACAGAGGAGGGTATTGAGTCTGTGGCGGCCACATTGGAGCTCCTGCACTGACCAAGCACTGGAGCAGGTCAGGCCCTGACTACCCCAGCGCACTCCTCTGAGCTGCTCTGGGTTTCCCCTTTACAAAGAGCCTGGTCTCTCATGTTTGTGAAGGAGAGAGCATTTGTCTCTCTCTCTTCCTGGTTGGAAATGGACAGACTCTCCTGTCCTTTTGTCTCCAGGACTTGGTGGCTGGGGACTGGCCCCAGCAGGAAGGCAGCCATGGGCTCACTCCCTTCTCTCTGTATTTAATCCCAGAAGTAGAGCCACGTGCTTGGGTTTCACTCTTAAAAGGTGAGTCTCCTTTCCTAGATGCCTTTTAGCCTAAGACCTTGTCCCAGTGTGTCTAGAGGAATAAAGGCATGCATACTTGTTTTAATTCTGAGATCTGCAATTTTAAAGGATGGTTTTAATTCAGAGACCTGCAATTTTAAAGGAAAAAGACTTGAGGCTTCTGCTGTGTGATCTGTAACAATCCCAGCTTCTAGAATGTTGCCCTTTAGGGCCTTATTTTTCCATTCACAGTATTCTTGTGAGTATATTTATAATAAAATAGAAATAAAAATTTGCCATTTTAAACATTTTTGAGTGTACAGTTCAGTGGCATTAAGTAGGTTCACATTGTCATGCAACCATCCCAGCCATTCATCTCCAGACTTCTTTTCATCTTGTAGAACTGAAACTCTATACCGACTTAGCATCACTCCCCAATTCCCTGCCTCCTTCTAGGCCCTGGCACCCACCGCTGTACTTTCTGTGTCTGAGAATTTGACTACTCTAGGGACATCATACAAGTAGACTCCTCTTGTATTTGTCCTTTCGTGTCAGGCTTTTTTCAATTAGTATAATGTGTCCAAAGTTCTTATTTCACTTAGTCTAAGTTTATCCGTGTTGCAGCCTATATCATAATGTCTCTTTTCTGTTATTTTATTGTTGTAAGAACAGGGCTTCCTTGATAGTTCAGTTGGTAAAGAATCTGCCTGCAATGCAGGAGACCCTGGTTTGACTCCTAGGTCGGGAAGATCCACTGGAGAAGGGATAGGCTACCCACTCCAGTATTCTTGGGCTTCCTTTGTGGCTTAGCTGGTAAAGAATCTGCCTGCAATGCAGGAGACCTGGGTTCAATCCCTGGGTTGGGAAGACCCCCTGGAGAAGGGAAAGGCTACCCACTCCAGTATTTTGACCTGAAGAATTGCATGGACTGTATAGTCAATGGGGTCGCAAAGAGTCAGACACAACTGAGTGACTTTCACTTCCAAGAACAGGTAAGATGAGATCCACCATATTAACAAATGTTTGAATGTACAATAGATTGTTGATTGTAGGTACAATGTACAGCAGACTTCTAGAGGTTACTCATCTTGCTTAACTGAAACTTTCTACCCACTGATCAGTAGCTCCTCCTCTTCCCCTCCCCCAGCCCCTGGCAACCACCATTCTACTCTTTGATTCTGTGAATTTGACTACTTTACATACTTCATATGAGTGGAATCACACAGTATTTGTCTTTCTCTGACTGGCTTATTTCACTTGGTATAATGTTCTCAAAGTTCATCTGTGTCTCATATTGTGGAATTTTCTCCTTTGTTAAGGCTTCATAGTATTCTGTTGTATTTAAATACCACATTTTCTTTATCCATTCATCCATCAATGAACGCTTAGATTGTTTCCATCTTAGCTATTGTGAATAGTGCTGCAAAGAGTTTCAGTTCAGTTCTGTTCTGTTCAGTCGCTCAGTTGTGTCTGACTCTTTGAGACCCCATGAATCGCAGCATGCCAGGCATCCCTGTCCATCACAAACTCCTGTAGTTTACTCAAACTCATGCCCATCGAGTCGGTGATGCCATACAGCCATCTCATCCTCTGTCATCTCCTTCTCCTGCCCCCAATCCCTCCCAGCATCAGGGTCTTTTCCAGTGAGTCAGCTCTTCACATGAGGTGGCCAAAGTATTGGACTGATGCTTCAGCATCAGTCTGTCCAATGAACACCCAGTACTGATCTCCTTTAGGATGGACCAGTTGGATTTCCTTGCAGTCCAAGGGACTCTCAAGAGTCTTCTCCAACACCACAGTTCAAAAGCATCAATTCTTCGTTGCTCAGCTTTCTTCACAGTCCAACTCTCACATCCATACATGACCATTGGAAAAACCATAGCCTTGACCAGACAGACCTTTGTTGGCAAAGTAATGTCTCTGCTTTTTAATATGCTATCTAGGTTGGTCATAACTTTCCTTCCAAGGAGTAAGCGTCTTTTAATTTCATGGCTGCAGTCACCATCCGCAGTGATTTTGGAGCCCCCCAAAATAAAGTCTGACACTGTTTCCACTATCTCCCCATCTATTTCCCATGAGGTGATGGGACCAGATGCCATGATCTTAGTTTTCTGAATGTTAAGCTTTAAGCCAACTTTTTCACTCCCCTCTTTCACTTTCATCAAGAGGCTTTTCAGTTCCTCTTCACTCTCTGCCATAAGGGTGGTGTCATCTGCATATCTGAGGTTATTGATATTTCTCCCAGCAATCTTGAGTCCAGCTTGTGCTTCTTCCAGCCCAGCATTTCTCATGATATACTCTGCATATAAGTTAAATAAGCAGGGTGACAATATACAGCCTTGACATACTCCTTTTCCTATTTGGAACCAGTCTGTTGTTTCATGTCCAGTTGTAACTGTTGCTTCCTGACCTGCATACAGGTTTCTCAAGAGGCAGGTCAGGTGGTCTGGTATTCCCATCTCCTTCAGAATTTTCCACAGTTTATTGTGATCCACAAAGTCGAAGGCTTTGGCGTAGTTAATCAGAAATAGATGTTTTTGCAAAGAGTTTAGGAGTACTCATATCTCTTCAAGATTCTAGCTTCGGTTCTTTTGAATATATACCCAGACTTGGAGTTGCTAGATCATATGTACTTCGGTAGTTCTATTTTAATTTTTTGAGGAATCTCCATACTGTTTTCCACAGAAGCTGCATTGTTTTTGCATTCAGTGTACAGAAGTTCCAATTTCTCCACATCCATGACAACACTTATCTTTTGACTTTTTGATAATAGCCATCCTGACCGTGGTGAAGTGGTATCTTGTAGTTTTGATTTACATTTCCCTGATGATTAATGCCATGGAGCATTTTTTTCATGTACTTGTTGGCCATCTATGTGTCTTCTTTGGAGAGCTGTCTATTCAAGTCCTTAGCTTATTTTGTAACTGGAGGGTCACCACCATACTCTGACCACTTCCCAAGGGGTTTCTGATGACCCAAGACACTCTAAGTTCTATATGTGGTCAGGATGGCTTTAATTCCATGAAGGAGGAGAGCTCCATCTCCTCTTATTCTTCCTCCTCCTAGCATCCCATGCCCTGGCATCATGAGGATGAGCACTGAGTCTGTTTTATTGAGCTGCAGCAAAGAAAAATGGCTTGAACAGATTGAAGTGGCTTCCCATTCTGCCTCTAGTCCAAGTATATGGTAGTGAGTTATGGGCCCACCCAGGCCCATCTCAGAGGACAGTCTGCATCCCAGGAATGTTCACTGAGTGCTTCTTCCAGCAGCTGCAGCTACAGTTGAGTACTCTGTGAAAACTCAGGGGTGGGAGGGATGTTATCCACACAACACACTAACAGCTAAAATATGTTTCAGTTTATATAACATATATGTCTGCCTCTAAATATGTTTTTAAGGAGACAAACATTGATTGCAGAAAGGGCCACATTTGGAATGAAAATGGAACAAACAGCTGGTGAGCCAACAAGGACATGTTTGACAGAAGACATTCCAAAAGTGAGTACTGACACAAAAAAGGTTAACCAAAATCAGATAAGGGGAAAGTCTGGCACATACATAACAGCACGCCATTGAAACATAGCTCTGGGTTACACATATTAAATTAATTAGTGTTGAATAATTGTTTCTTTATAGAAGATATGTCATTATTTAAGTCTTCACTTACTGCTCTGTAACAAACCCTATCAGAACTTAGCAGTTTAAAACAACACCCATTTCTTTGTTCACAATTCTGCAGGTTGGGCTGGGCCCAGCTTGTGGTGAGGAATGGGCTTTCCTTCACTGGTCTGCCCTGGGCTCACACACCCAGTTGCAGTCATGGGATCCCTGAGGTATATGTTCAAGGCAGCCTCACTCACACACATGTCAGTAACTACTGCCTGTCACCTAGGTGCCCTCATGTGGCCTCCAGCAGGTTAGACTGTGCTTCTGGGTATAATCGCAGAAGCCTTCCCAGGCCCAGCAAGGGCACTAGCAAGGCCACCTAAACTCTAACCTCGCCAGTGTCAGAGGGGACTTGAAGGAATTGTCAGGCCTCCTGGAGATGCTTTACAAAGATCTGTGAAGGGAGGGTTCATTACGCTTTCAATGAACTAACACTTCAGACATGAAATCACACCGAGGCAAAATGTGTTCATATCAGATGTTACTTAATTGAAGCTTCCCAAGAGGTTGCCACAGGTCACCAAATCACATTGGTTTTAGTGTACAGCTCAGAGTAAGGCCTTCTCTGTGCCTCTGTAATTGAGGATTAATCTGAAATTCTAGTGCTCAGACAAACCACCATAGGTCCTTGCCATCTGTAGTTCATTTGTGTGCATCACGGTTTTACTGATACTCAGCAACTAAAAACAGTCTGGATTAGGATGGTGGTTTTTTCTTATCAGTTGACTTTATAGGAAGTAAAAGTTACACATTTAAACTACTATAATAAAAAAAAACAGATTCATCCTAACTTACACATACATTCTGTGTAAGACTTCTCTGAGAAAAGGACCCACTGCTAATGAAAAGGGAAAACAGAAAAGATTGGAAGAAACCCAGGGACCTACAATATTCTGTTATTGCCAGATCATTTTGCAATGAAATATTTTTTCTAGATGGCTTTCTTCCCTATTCTTAAAACTGTCTCCAAGGTGTTGATTGTATAACTCCCCACAATAACCCATTCTTGAGTCTCACTACCTGGTTCCAATCTGGAATTTCATTCTTATTTATTAGTACATATTCCTTCTTGTCTGTTGGACCCACTTGAACCGCGTCATCTTTCATGGCCATGAAAAGTAAGTGATGATTTCACATAAAACCTATAACTGAGGACCATGGCCCCATCACAGTCTGACTTCTCTAGGGTAAATGCCAGCCCTGTTCTCATCATTATAAAAGTCTCTCTGGCATACCTGTTGACCCATGCTCTCCAGGCAAAATGGGTGCAACATTTCAATATAAGAATCCACATCACTCTGTCAAAGAGAGGATTACTTTAAAATCATGAAATGAAATTGTACTGAACAAACACAGCATTATAAAGCAACTGTACTCCAATAAATGTTTTTAAAAAATAAATCAATAAAAAAGAAATTGCACTAGATATGATAGCAAGGTTATTTTATTTTTCTTAAATTAGACTGTCAAACTTTTGAAGCAATTCGTAACTTTTGACTCCAAATACTATAAACAAGAGACTCTGAACTCCTTTGGAGTTATTCTAAAAAGCTTCCTTTGCCTGTGCAGCTGACTTGGGGAGAGCAAGAAGAGAAGGAATTGCCAAAAGGGAGATCGAGTGGGATTTGTGGATTTCATTTGTCTATGCTTTGGGCATGTGTTAGAAATTTTAGTAAAGGTGTAAATAATGTAGCATGCTGTGATATATGGCAGTCATCTAGGCATAGACAACAGTGGGCTTAAAGGATACTTTGGTGGGGAGGGTAGCATAGTGAGGCTGTCTCTGTCAGGAGATTATGAATGCCTGAACAAATGATGCTGAACTTCAGAGCCATCTCCATTGCAGGTGGGATGCCAGGTTGAGAGGGGCAGATCTATAGAAGAGGCTCTGGCTCCCCTACAGTCTCCTGAATGTCTCAATTATATAGGTATTTAAGGAATACATAGGTTGGTTGGTTGGTTTTTTAATCAGCAGAATTTCTTTAAAATCTCTATTTTCTGTCCCCAAATTTTATTTATTATACATAAGTTCAGAGAAAAATTGGAGTTTGTCATCTTAAGGAAGCCCAGATATGGTTTTAGAAAGACCCCAAGTAGGAGAGGTATAACAAGTCTTCCTCCGGGGCCCCTTGTAGCCAGCTTCATCAGCATGCACCAGCTACAGTTTTGCATCAGCTCCCTGGAGTCAAAATATTTAAGTCCTGCATGTGGTGCTCTGTCCTTTCATTATCCCCAGTTAACAGAGTTGGAATTTAGCCAAAAGAGTACATGGGTTGTTGTTGTTCAGTCGCTCAGTCATGCCCGACTCTTTGTGACCCCATGGACTGCAGCACGCTAGGCCCTGTCCTTCACTATCACCCGGAGTTTGCTCAAACTCATGTGCACTGAGTCATTGATGCCATCCAGCCATTTCATCTTCTGTCGTCCTGTTCTCCTCCCGCCTTCAATTTTTCCCAGCACCGGGGTCGTTTCCAGTGAGTCAGTTTTTCGCATCAGGTGGCCAAAGTATTGGAGTTTCAACTTCAGCATCAGTCCTTCCAATGAATATTCAGGACTGATTTCCTTTCAGATTGACTGGTTGGATCTCCTTGCTGTCCAAGGGACTCTCAAGAGTCTTCTCCAGCACCACAGTCTGAAGGCATTTTGCATGATGTACCTTTGTTGCAGAGCTGAAATGCAAGCATCATAGCTCTCACCTAATATGTCAACTTCCTTAGAGCTCAGAGAAGGGAAAGCAAAGCCCTGGGCCTGGCTGATGAACAGCTCACTGATCCTCCCTACATCCCCACCAGGAGATCCTATCAGGCAACAGCATAGTCTTAGATGGATGTGCTAAAGGGAGAAGGGTTTAGGTCATGAGCCCAAAGCCACAGAGCCCAGCCCTATAGTGGTTGGAGAGCAAAGGGGCCTTACTTTCCCCTGCAAGTATGGAAACTCTACTTTCTTTTTTCTGATGTTCTAAGTGCACACTGTCAATTGAGTGGATGGCATGTTTGGATTTTTTGGGGGTGTGTGTGTGGTTTGTTTTATGCTTTAAAGGTGCCCAGGGATCAGCTATCGGGAGCAAGAAGGTATCACTTTGGTGGGGGTAGGGGGGTGGGCACACCATGCGGCTTGTAAAATCCTAGTTTCCTGATCAGGGATTGAACTCGGGCCACCACATCGAAAGTATCAAGTCCTAACCACTGGACAGCCAGGGAACTTTCCTCAGGTCATCCAGTGTGACCAAAGTCTGCCTCAGTATCATTTGCTATCTCTTCCCTCCTTACTAATCCCAGGAGAGAAGGTTGCCATGGGCGATAAAACACCAGAATTATGTGAAACTTCCAACTTGACTCAATAAAAGTTTCAAACTAAGAGATGGACCTGCTATTTCAGTGGCTCATGGTGTGTGAATCCGGGCTCTTAGAGCTTCCAGTTCTCAGCATATCCTTATCCCCTGCCATCCCTCTCTTTCTGCAGGCCAAGAGGTGCACAGTGATTGGAGGCTCTGGATTCCTGGGTCAGCACATGGTGGAGCAGTTACTAGCAAGAGGCTATGCTGTCAATGTATTTGACATTCGGCAAGGGTTTGACAATCCTCGCGTGCAGTTTTTCCTGGGTGACCTTTGCAGCCAACAGGTAACAGACCATTTAGCCTTGCCGATTGCCCCAGGCCCCTTGAAGGGAAACCACCAGACTTCCCCTGCTCAGAGGCTAGCCAAGTTGTTGTTTCCAAAAGAAAAATTTTTTTTGAAAAATTGTGAAGTTATACGAAAGAATTTAACACACACAAAAAACAAAGAATTTAACACACACACCTATTGTTACTAGTGAGAATCAATAACTGTTATCTATGTCACTACTACTGCACTCTGCACAGATAGTTCAAAAGCAACCATGGCCAATACATAAATGAGTGGTGGCAGCTGCGTACCAATAAAACTTTATTGACAAAAGGTCCACAGGTTGTAGGGTGCCTACTGCTATTACAGAGTATATATCCAAAAGTGAAATTGCTTGGCTTTGTGGTTTTTTTCTCTTAATAATTTTTGTTTGTTTGTGTGGTTGTTTATTTATTTATTTATTTATGGCCGTGCTGGGTCTTCACTGCTGCTCGGGCTTTTCTCTAGTTGTGGTGAGCTGGAGTTACTCTTCATTGTGGTGCACATGCTTCTCATTGCACTGGCTTGTGGAACAGGGGCTTTAGGGTGAAGGCTTCAGTAGTTGCAGTTCCAGGGCTCTAGAGTGCAGACTCAGTAGTTGAGGCCCACGGGCTTAGTTGCTCCCCAGGCATGTGCGATATTCCCCCAACCAGGGATCGAACCTGTATCTCCTACAATGGCAGGTGGATTCTTTGCCATTGAGCCACCAGGTACTCCCTGGGCTTTGTCTTTCTGCATAACACTTGGCATAGCTGATATATTCTGTGTCAACTTAGGTATCTGTTCCCCCACCCAGACAACATGCGCTCCATGAAGGCAGCTCCCCTTCAAACCACTCCGCCCAACTCCCATGCTATCGTTGCTATTTTCCCCTCACTCACAAATGCTAGTTTTGCTGTGGGTGACATTCTAGGGTTACAATCCTCCTCCCCCACCTCCTCCTCCATTACTCAATCTGAGCATTTTATTTTTTTCGTTGCTCTGCGAGGGTCACAGAATCCTCGTTCTCAGACCAGGGATTGAACCCAGGCTCCCTGCACTGGAAGCACAGAGTCCAAACCACTGGACCAGCAGGGAATTGCCTCTTTTTACTTTTTTAATGTGGGTGCTACAAACTTAAAAGTCATATCTATGCTTTGTATCATATTTCTAGTGGAATAAAGGGGTAAAGGCTGGATCTGATTCTGGTTTGGTTTTTTTCCTTTGGGGCATCACGGATCAATACCCCAATAGCAATAAGCACTTTACTGCTCAGATTTTATTTTCTATACACCATTGCCCATAAAATGAACCAGGGGTCCTTGGGAAAATACCCTATTCAGGAATCTGGGGCAGAGGTAGGTAGTACAAGGTGAGCCTGGGACATTTTTCTTAGGATGAAACTAACAAAGTACTCAAAAACTAATTTAGAGCATGTTAAAAGGACACAGGAACCAATTTGAAGAGCCTCTACTGGCCATTTGGGACATTTTGAGCCTCACAAAAGATAATTGTAGAGGATTGTAATGAACTGAACAAGAATCCCTACATCCATAGAATTACTGAAGAAAAGATTACAGAGGAATGCCAAGTAAAGAAGTAAAAATGAAAGCTAAAATTAAAAGTTCACCATTTTTGTTTAGTCACAAAGCTGTGTCCAACTCTTTTGCAACCCCAAGAATTGTAGCGCGCTGTGGGATGGGGTTGGGGGAAGGCTTAAGAGGGAGGCTATATATATGTATAAAATTATGGCTGATTCACATTGTTGTATGACAGAAACCAACACAACATTGTAAAGCAACTTATTCCAATTAAAAAATAAAATGTAAAAACATTTTACCAATTTGCAAGTAGCATGTTAATAAGTTGTTCCAAGCAAGGGTCACCACTGAATGCTGAAATCAATTGGTGGAAGGTTGCTGGGGAGTAAGATATTCACAGAATCTCTAATGATCACCCCATTACTTTTTGATTGCTCAGAGAGAAAGATACCTTTTTGATGGCCCAAATCTTTCAGCCATCACCTTAACCAAATGATTGGATCAGCATTACCAACAGTGTGACAAACTGCCATCTTGATCCTCCTAGGGTGATGCCCTGAGAAGGCATGATGTCACTGGTGTGATGTTCTTGCCAAAAGTATTAAGACTGAATCTAATCATGAAGATTACCAGTTCTTAGAACAGGCCTGGGGTAGACTTGAGAGGCAGAGTGGCATGCTATGTGCAGCTTATTCTCAGATGGTTTCAAAGAAAAAATCATGTCTACATAGAGAAAGTTGTGGTAAAATGCTAATAATCAGTGTATCTAGGAACATAATTCATGGTTTTCTTTTGGCGATGTTAGTATCTATTGATCATTCCTAGATTGTATTATTAATACTTCAATATTTCACAAAATGGTAGTAGTAGTGTTAGTCGCTCAGTTGTGTCCAACTCTTTGTAACACCACAGACTGTACCCCACCAGTTTCCTCTGTCCGTGGAATTCTCCAGGCAAGAATAATGGAGTGGATTGTCATTCCCTTCTCCAGGAGAACTTCCTGACCTAGGGATCAAACCCAGGTCTCCTGCATTGCAGACAGATTCTTTAATATCTGAGCTACAGGAAAGCTTCACAAAATGTTACAAAATGGTAGCATGCTATTATTCTCTCTTTATGCCTTAGCCTAAGTCTCTGTACCTTTTTTCAGTTCAGTTCAGTCGCTCAGTCATGTCTGACTCTTTACAACCCCATGGACTGCAGAACGCCAGGCCTCCCTGTCCATCACCAATTCCCGGAGTTTACTCAAACTCGTGTCCATTGAGTTGGTGATGCCATCCAACCATCTCATCCTCTGTCGTTCCGTTCTCCTCCTGCCTTCAATCTTGCCCAGCATCAGTGTTTTTTCCAGTGAGTCAGTTCTTCATATCAGGTGGCCAAAGTATTGGAGTTCCAGCTTCAGCATCAGTCCTTCCAATGAATATTCAGGACTGATTTCCTTTAGGATGGACTGGTTGCATCTACTTGCAGTCTCTCAAGAGTCTTCTCCAGCACCACAGGTCAAAAGCATCAATTCTTCGACGCTCAGCTTTCTTTATAGTCCAACTCTCACACCCATACATGACTACTGGAAAAACCATAGCTTTGATTAGATGGACCTTTGTTGCCAAGGTAATGTCTCTGCTTTTTAATAAGCTGTCTAGGTTGGTCGTAACTTTTCTTCAAAGGAACAAACGTCTTTCCATTTCACGGCTGCAGTCACCATCTGCAGTGATTTTGGAGACCAGAAAAATAAAGTCTGGCACTGTTTCTACTGTTTCCCCATCTATGTGTCATGAAGTGATGGGACCGGATGACATGATATTACTTTTCTGAATGTAGAGTTTCAAGCCAACTTTTTCAATCTCCTCTTTCACTTTCATCAAAAGGCTCTTTATTTATTCACTTTCTGCCATAAAGGTGCTATCATATACATATCTGAGGTTATTGATATTTCTCCTGGCAGTTTGATTCCAGCTTATGCTTCATCCAGCCCAGCGTTTCTCATGATGTACTCTGCATAAAAGTTAAATAAGCAGGGTGACAGTATACAGCCTTGACGTACTCCTTCCT